GGCAGGGGAGGGTGAGGTTGGCCATGAGGAAAAGGTTCTTCAGGCACCCAGAGGGTGGTGGAGCCCTGGAACAGGCTCCCCAGGGAGATGTTGATGGCACCAAGCCTGACAAGATTCCAGCAGCATTTGGCCAACATGTGCCCTCAGGGACATGGTGTGAATGTTGGGCTTGTCCTGTGCAGGGACAGGAGTTGGACTCCAGCATCCTGGTGGGTCCCTCCCAGCTGTGATTCGATGATTCTAGTTTTTCAGTGGATGTCCCTGCACTGTTAATTGCACAGGTATCACACAAAGCATTCTGTGCAAACAGGTGAACTGCGGTAATTCCTGAAGTGCAATTAAATGATGTGATTGCAATTTCCTAGTTAATTATCTGCCACAAACAACTGATGTGAGCTCATGACTATTTCCATCATATCAGTGAAGATGTATTTTTCATCTTCTATTATTATAATAGTGAAGATGGTGAAACTCTTTCAGATCTTCATTTCCCTCATACTTAGTCCAGTAACACGACTGCCTCAGCTAAAGAAAAGAAAAAAAGAGAAGTGTCCTTGTCACTCGTACAACTAATGGCACTGGGAAGATTTTCTGGCTGTAAAGCAGGGGGATGGACACATTTTCCTCTCTTTGGCTTCCTGCATGAAGTTATAGAAGAGGTCTGGGAAGCTGTAGAAAAAGTGTGAATGATTTTGTGAATACTATTAGCATGATTTCAGTTGTAACACATTAAATAAAACGTAATTAAGCTCCATTTGCTTTTCAGATAATTAGGAGACATGATCTCAAGCCTCAAGTTAAAATACAGTTTGAAAATGCAGGTGTGTTCTGATGTAGATTTAGACTGAAGACAGTTTCTAATAACAAGGTAATTTAATTTCAGGTGCAGTCCTCACTTTTTCATCCTCAGAGACCAGATCAGCTGGTTTCTTTTCTGATGTCTTTTGGGTTTTCTTGCAATTAATTTACATGTCTCTTCACAAAAACGTTTCTAAATAATTAAGTGGAGCATCTGAAATGAGTGACAAGCTCGATTTCAAATCCCCTGCATCACCCTCCACCTTCAGTTGTAATAAGCAAACAATTTCTTAATTAATCATCAATTAAAAGAATCCTCTTCATTGTCCTCAGTCATGTTGAAAGATGTGCATTTTGAACCAAAAGAAGTCTGGGATGACTTAGGGCATCGTCTAGACTTTCCACGAGAAACAGTGAGAAATACCACAAATCAGCAATTAAGATTCTTGATCTGTATGGATTGAGAAATAAACTGGAAATACTTCTCATCTTTGGATTAAAACTCATCCAAAACTCATCTTTGGATTAAAAAATGTCATTTCTAGTCCAACCCACAGCATTCCATCCTTTGTGTTAATTCCTAGCAAGTTTATTAGTACTGCATAGAAAAGAGAGACTGTTATTCTTTGACTGATCCAATGCAGATGCTAGAGCTGAGCTAGAAAAATCCTCCCTCTGCTGTATCGGGTCCTCTGAGACCTTCATCCCATCGCAGTCAGAATAAGACCTCAGTCCTTTTAACTTCTCTATTCGTTACTGTGTGGGTTTGGGTTGTGGGGTTTTGTTGGGTGGGTGGGAGTGAAGAGTGTTCTTTTGTTTTTCATGAAAGTTTCAGAGATGATCTTAAAAGGTCATCTTGCCTTTCCAGGAAGACTTGCACAGTTTTATTTCCCCCAGGATGTTGGGCTTCAATTGATTCAGTCTATTGTGGGAGCTGTTTTGCACTAATGAGATGCACAATGACACGTTTCTCCTGATGGAGAGAGGAATACATGCTGAAGGTTTCTGGTTTCTGTCTGCTTTAAACCCATAGCTTGACAAGCTCTTTGCCACAGAATTGCCTGTATTTTACCAGGAGTCAGAAATACCTTCATTCTAGAGTTTTTGGTTTCTCCATAGCACCAGAGATCTTCACTGAGATGATGACCTTGGTCTGTTCTTGTCAAAGGAGAAAGGAGGTAATGATTGCTTCATCTGGAGATCTGACTCAGAAGAGACCTTTCTTCAGATAGGATGTCAAATGTCTTAAACTTCATTTTGGGTTACTTTGACTTTTGCTTGACCTTATCTATGTGTCTGGGTTGGAGGGGCATTGTTCAGGGCTACCTCCAAGATAAGACCAACCTTCCATAACACGGGTCCAAGACATCACTTGGGCTCCCAAGGCTACTGCTCCTGCATGAGGACTCAGGAGGTGCAGTAGTACACATCTGGACATGGCACTCTATACAAACTCGTGTACACGGGGCATGTTCTCCTGGTTTGTGTTTGATGGACCAGGAAGTGGCTTTTTTGCAAAAGGCCTGACACTCTCTCTATGGGCAGCAAGCTCAGTGAGATGTGTGCAATTGTTTCCATCTAGACAGAGAGCAACAGAATCAGAGAATCCCAGACTGGTTTGGGTTGGAAGGGACCTTAAAGCTCATCCAGTTCCAACCCCCCTGCCATCAGCAGGGACACCTTCCACTAGACCAGAAGCTTGTTTCCTCCCGAGGTGGGAGAGCACAGGGTGTTGTAAGTCAGGGCAGTACTGAGACTTCTGTCCTCACGCTGAAGACCACGTACAGAGCTGGACAAGAGCCTCTTACTGTTTATAACTGAGGGTGATGTTAGAAGGTCTCCCATCCTCTGCAGGATGACCTGGTTGGATAAGCACCTGGAGTTTTATCTTTGCAGAATCCTGACCGTGTCAGCTAACAGGCTTAGCCATGTGAGATGGAAACTACCAGAAATTGAAATCTTCATTCTGAAA